AGAGTGTGGCTTGGTTTTCTGTTACTCAGTGTTAATATAGCCCATTTCTTTTGCCTCCTTTTCCTGGCTTGTATCAAGACTCTGGGCCTTTTAACATTGCTCATTTAACATTTACTGCAAGTATCATAATGCATTAATCACAGTTAATCTACAGAACAGGGAAGTAGGAGTAAGTTACTTTGGCAGCTATACTCTCAGATAAAGCTGTATCTGGAACTTAAGCTTTGCCATAGACCAGTTTATTCATAGTGCAGCATTAACCTTGAAAGGCTAATGAATTTCAGTCTGAAAAGTGAAGACCATTGATAAAGACACCCACAAAATGACACTTTCTTTGAAACAGAAAGCTGTTTAATTACCTCCAAACAAGAGTCAAAAGATCAAGATGAATCTGTACCAGTGAGCAACCAGTGTTCAGTGTGAAGAGAATGGCAGTTAGTGACTTAAAAGGGAAGCTATTTGCATATCTGAGCATCTTGCCTTGTTGCTCTCAGCATGTTTTTATTCCAGGTTTATCTTAATGACTTGTACATACACATGCAGCACTCTGAAGTATATGCAGTACTGAGTTTCAGTCTTCTAATATCAATCTTTCTTTTTTAGTCAAATACTGGAAATAATGGCGGCAGTAAGAGAAGATGACCCACTTGAGTTGGCCAATACTCTATATAACAACACTATTAAAGTTTTCTTTCCAAATATATAAAGTTGTTGTTCTTACATTTATTCAGCATAACTTTAGTAAATATATTGCAAAAACTTAAAAACCATCCTATCTGCAAGTTCTTATCAATGGAAGCCAGTATGTAGTGCTTTTTTTTTTTTTTAATGGTATAAGATTAAAGCTGCTTTTGAAAAGATGGCCTGCATTTGTGCAGTTTCTCAGCCCTTTTTCCCTTTCATCAAGGTCAATTTCCAGGATAGCCCAAGCTCGCCACTCTTGCTGACTCTGTATGCGTTACAAGATGAATACCAGGCTGCCGCATTCACACGTAGAGCACTTCAGGCGACTCCTGGTAATTCAGGAGTGTTTAACGCAGCAATGGCACGCTTTACTACTTTACCTGAAAGGTTTGCAGTTTTGTCTTTTGTTCCACACATGCAAACGCTATAACATTAAGTCTACCAACCTAAATTTTTATTTTTTATTTTTTTTTAAAACACAACTCACTAGTTTTTAGCGATAAAGCTCTGCTAATACTGAATCTGTAAGTAAAGCTGCTTTGGTTCAGGCTTTTCGTTTCTGATTTGACCCACTGAACAGTCTGTTTTCACCAGTATTTTTCATTTGCATCCAGAACTCATTGATCAGGGATTACTGGTATACAGTCTTTGGCACAGCATTATCACTACATCAATTAACGAGTGTTTTTCCAACCATCTTAAAAACATGTGAAAACATTTTATTCCATGTACAATAATGTACATAATTTTAAGGTGGTCATGAAAAAGACCAGCAAAAATTAGAGGTATATTTACAGTAGCACACACCACAGTAAACAACCACCATTCACAGACTCAACATTGAGATACTGCTGTTGTGCTTAAGAACAATAACTACAAAGTGATACTTTTATTCCGTTGCAGTCAATCTTAAACAAATACCTCACAGCTTCTTAAAGGACATCTTAATCACCAAGAGAGTTAGAGTCAACATTAAGAGTCTCGTTCAAGTGCTGTGCCACACAGTCATCGTCTTCCTCATCACTATCGGTACTGTCATTATCTTCATTTAATTCATTTTCAGCATCAGCAGCTTCTTCTGCAACTTGTACAGGATTTTCATTTGGTGCCACAAACCCATTGTTGTTAGAGATATTGGCATTTTCCTTGTCCTCAATATACACTTTCTGATGGCACATCGGGCAAGTGTCCTGAATGTACAGCCACTTCCGGAGACAAAGTGCATGAAAGTAATGGTTGCATGGAGTAATGCGAGCAGAGGTGGTGAACTCATGGTAGCAGATTGCACACACATCATCTATTTCCCGTAACCGACTTCCTTTTACCTCTGGAAGTGAGTTTATTTTCTTAACAGCAGTCCGGCGATTTATAAAAGTCTTCCAGCCATTCTTTGCTTGCAAGTAGATGTTGAAGTACGCGTGTAGACACATCATGCACGCACGAATCTTGCTTCCCGATTCAAAAACCATTGTGTAAGCTCCATTTCCAAACATGATTACTCCAAATATAAACTCAATAATATTGCCCGTTGAACGAACATAATAGACATAGTCATCAAGTTTTTCCCATAGCACGTTATAGTAGCCATCAATCATAAACAATATATAAACAGTGATAGAAACTATTACTTTTAGGCAAAGCTCTACACAGAATGCTGTAACTGCAAAAAGCCACGTATTTAGTGCATAGTGGTGCCAGAGGATGTAACTGAGCAGAACTGGAAGGATGAAAAGGCAAGCGGAAACAAACAGTACAGGGAAGTGTCTGCGAAATGACGACACGTGGGAGGCACTGAGAGACATCAGCACAGGGTCCGTCATTCCATGGATAAAATGCAGGACTGCGGTCAACAAAAGGCACATGTTTCGACTCAGGCGAACTAATCGTTCTTCTGGTTTCAGTCCACTTAAACCAGTCTGCAGAGCCAAAATGAAAAACAAGACGGGCGCTACAAAACCAAGCCTTTTGTCATCCTCATCAGTTGATCCGATGAAGGCCAAGATACCAAGTCCCAAATAATGCGCTATTGAGGAAATGACAGCGCTCATGCCTAACACAGTTAAAGTAGAGTCACACCCACTTATGATCAGACTGCAAATCAGCTCCCAACAGTTATCCCACGATATCAAGAAGAATTTTTCTTCTGAATTAGTTTCAGCCATCTTTACAACATATGTTAATACCACAGCTTGTGCTGTAAGTCTCGTTAGCCAGAAGACACGCAGTACAGCTGGAAACCGAATCCTCTTCCATGTATCTTCCATCAATAGCTGTAATCCATAAATGCGATACATGTGCCTCACCAGCAGATAAACATAGCGCACTGAATAATAGAACCATTTAATTTTGGTAACTAAAATGGCTGTGGTATTTAGTGTCAGAACTAGACCCGAAATAAAAACTAGTATCTGCCGGACATTTAAAGGTAGTTCGACGACCAAGCCAATTACAGGAATCAGTATATCCAGGATGATGAGTTGAGAGTATATGGACTGCACATTTAGCAAAGTAACATAGCCAATTCCAAAGGTAAGCTGAAGGATGGAAAGCGCCATCCATAGCGAAGGTCCTTTATGAGGGAAGATCTGAATTCCGAACGCAGCTGTGTAGTAGGCACTGTAGAAGTTTATGTGCAAAGAAGCGTAGTAATTCACCAACACTGAAGTCGCAGCCAGCAGAAATGCCGAGGCGATCATATAAAACTTGAAAAGTGCTCGCTGTTGTAAGACCAGAACAACACTGGATACAAAGACACCTAAAAACAGATTGAAATCATTTAGTTCTCAGCAGAAACTCAACAACAGATTCTAACCTATTGGCTCTGGAGCTATATTTATTTAATGTATCACTTCCCAATTAGTCACTCGTAGCTCTACATTACCAACAGTGCCCTTTTCAGAGAACAGACAAGAGGATGACTTAACCTCTGCTTGTAGTACATCTGTGCACCGCAGGTGCGATGCAAAGCCAATGCATTACATCACAATTACTGTTAAATTCATCTGCAGTTTCAGATGAGAGCAAGGACAACTCCCAGCCTTTCAGCCTTAGTCTTGAAATCTAAGGGTAGACAAGTTCTAAAAGCAGAAAAAACCTACCAGATACAGCATCACCTTTATAGGCAAAGTTAGTAATTTTTGCTCATTTATTACTGAAGTCCCCTAAATCACTTGAGCAAAGCACTCAACTACAGAAGTCCAAGCTGGAGTACTAAAGGTAACAGTCACCAAAACAGTATAGCTAAACCCTTTAATGGGAAAAGTCTAAACATTGCTGGGGGGGAAGAGTACTCTTCTTCCAATTCCCTTCAGTTGGCTTTCATTTCTGATGAAATGAAACTGAAGTCTCATGGAGAAGGCTTTCCGCAGTATAATGCTTTTGTACACAGAATCCAAAGCTGCACCAATCGCCTCTTTGCCAATGGCAGTGCTAACTTGTGTCTTGATGGTTAGAAGTCAGATTTAGATCCTGAAATTCCTGTTTGCTAACCTTTCCCCTCATGCCGACCATGAGCATATCTTGACCATGACTGGAAAGTATGATCCTTCCTATGAGAAATCCTATCATAGCATCTATAGAGTACCTTGGCATTACATTTATGACCTTGCAGTAAACTCCTTCTGCAGTGTAGCTTATGAATTTCATCACTATGTGCTACATAGGTAAGGGCTCTTCCCTAGGTTGTTAAATTAAATGGCACTTATCACTAGATTCACTTCCTTCAACATTTTTTTCTTCAGGAAACACACTGCCTTTGTTTTGGGCTTCTCAATCAGCTTCTAGTCTATGCAACTGCTTTCTCATCCAAACCAGTTCGGAGAGATTTCGATCTCTACAACTTGTATTTGATTGTAAGTTGCTGTCAATCTCTGTACTAAAACTAATGAAATCACAAGTAATCCTCTTTCTACTGGAGGACAACATCAGTCTTTTCTGACAATTGTATTTTAGATTGTTCCAAATCCTCCATAATCAAGTGTTTAAAAAAAATATTTTAAGCCACGGTACCTTGATCATGGGAATAAAAAAAACTTTGCTAAGAATCAGCATTTGGTTCCACCAGTAGCGTTGCCAGCTGCTTGTATAAAAAAAAAAAAAAAAAAAAAAAGACAACCACCACCAAACCTCCCCCAAGGTGGTCCATCCCCCCCCACAGACTGAGTAAGAAGAAAGAGAGATGGTCAACATCAATCAATAGCAAAAGGCAAAAAAGGAAAAAAGTTAATAATGCACCTTAACAGTATTCCTTACCAGCAGCATCAGCTGATATAAAAACATTCTCCTTAACTAATCATTAACCTAGCAGCCTTGTGAAGCTGGCTGAGGAAAAGCCTCAGTCAGTTTTCAGAAAGCGTCTTGTATCAGACCTCAGCTCTTCTACAAAAAGCTGAACAGTCACTACATACAGCACTTTTTGTAAAATAGTCTTGAAAATTTTGCTTTAATTGCCTTTGCATGCATACCACCATAAACACCTATGGGAAAGCTAATACTGCTGACAAGTTTTTACCCTTTGTGTTTTCTTAGAAGTCACAGAAAAGGGTCAAATGCCTGTAACAAACTTATTATTTACACAATTTTGATCATTTGAGCCAAATAGATGCATTTTGCACTAAGGCTGCTCTGAAACATGTCTGTAAACAAAACGTATTTTTCTTATTGCAGTAGCAGACCTGTATTTAGATACTATAGGTCATCACATGCAAGAGACATCCCTAAAAACAGTACTACATTGAGTCACCAGAAAAGCTAGAGCTACTGCTTCCTCTGCAGAGGGACTAACAAAAGGTAAAGCGTTTCTCTGTCAACACTTGTGTGGAAAAGTCAAGACCCCCCAAAGGAATCTCAGAAGGCAACCCAAATCTCGGGAGGGGAGGTGAGCACTCCTCTCCTCCCTAGCTCCAGTTACTCAGTCCATCTTGCCACGATGAGACTTCCCCCTGCCCTGTGAAGTGTTCACAAACAGTGCATCTTTTCCCGTTTTCCCTCTGATAGGAAATCCTGTGGTTCCTTCTTTGAGAAGATTTGTCTCGTGTTTCTGTATATACTGCTGCTCAACTTTACTGTTCCTGTCCATGCCACCCCATCACCAACTGGCTCCAGTATGGCCTCCAAACACAGCATTTCATCAAACCACACACATTTACTTTTAAAATAATTTCTTGTGTTACAATGAATCCCTACCTCTCCTTTTTTGCTTTAATTCCTGTAGTTTGTCAGTATCTTTATAGTAGCAAGCTACCTAGGATTTGACTTTCAGTCAGTTGCAGAGTTCAATTACCTTCACACAGAAGTATTTTAATCATGTGGAGCTGCCAAATTATTTTTTCCCCAGCCATTCTACTTGCTTCCACATATTTCTACAGAGTGCAGTATTTATAGTAACCCTCTCAAAAATCAGCATCCCCACTGAGGAGGGACTGCTGTCTGAAGTAAATTTCACACTCCTGGGAGTGGTGGTTCTGCTGGAATGGAGACAATTAAAAAATATGCAAAGATATGGAAGGTAAACATTGTGTTGGAGACAAAGCAAGGTTAATCAAAAAGATTAAAGAAAAATTGCGCCCCAGTTGTAGAACTTGGTTCTGTGCTGTGTGTAACTATGTACTTGTATAGAAAATAAATGATGGAAGAATCAGACTGAGGAATCCTGCAGTAAAACTTTTTCAAAATCATACAGATCTTTCTTGAAGAACTGTACTTGCAGAGTATTTCAGAACTGTTCAACATGACACCCATCATTTGAAAGCTATCAAATCTCTCCAGAGCTACTATCTTTGTATCTAGAGGACAAGCTGTATGTTTATCCTATGCTAAATAGTATTGTGTTACAGGAAAAATCTGATCAGTCTTTCAAAGTCTGCAAATGCTAACTAAAAGGGCAACTCCCCACTATTTAAACACAGAATGATCAAAAGTATTTCAGTTTATCCTCACAGCAGCAAAACCCCAACCCTGCAATCCTTAAATTCAGAGGAGGAAAAAATAGATGCAAAAGCACTGTTATCTGAACCACATAAAAGGTCTCTGACATCATCTTTAAATGGTTACATTTTAATTTTTCTTTAATTTTAGAAAGCCAAGAACCAGAGATCACTTGTCTCGAAGTACAAGATAAGTCTCTTGGCATAAACTGTTCCCAAAGCAAAATTACCCCCTTCCTCCCCCAAACCCTTCCAGCAAAATGATCATATAAATGCAATCCTGAAAAGTGCCTTAATCTGTTAATCCCAGTATCACACCCTTAAGAGTGATATTTAACCCCTCTTCTCTGCTTCCTATCCCAACAGCCATACCACCTATTCCTTTCCTTTTTTTTTTTCCCTACTATAAACAACAAACAAAACATAATCAGCATGTCATAAGCCTGCAAGAAAACTCCTCCTCTGTTTTGGATTCTCCTTTCCTTCCTGCCTCAGGATTCCCAGCTCCAAGATGCGATACACGACACAGCATCCCCTGTACGGCAGTTCGCAGAATGGGACTCCAACCTAGCTGAGACTATATAAGAACACAACATTACAAATAATACTGAAAATAGCATCACCTAGTTATACCAGTGACTTTCAATTTTCATCCCAGGGAAAAAAAAAAAAAAAAAAAAAAGCTTAAAAATACCCAACAGCAAGTTTCAAGAGACTCTTTCATTTGGGAACTAAATTTCCGGCATTTCTGAACTGCAGTTCCTAAAATAAGGATTTAGCAGGGTGTTTCGGGAAGACATCACACTATCCAAAGCGTTTAAAAACCCCCAAACAACCTATAGCCACGCAGTCACAGCTTTGCCGCCGTGGACGCCCGCAGCGG